CCAGGTCAAGGCCCATAGCTTTAGGCTGTCAGTCAGCACCACACTGACCCTCTACTGAACCATATTTCCACTGCCACAGAACATTAATTCTGATTTATCCGTAAGAATGGACTATTTTGCAACGACAGAAGAGACCGAAATTGGTGCTCTTGGACTGGCAGGCTTTACCTAGGCAAGAGTCACGACCTACTAAGAGTCTTGCGGGCATGAACGCAAGTGGCACTGTTCTTCCTATGTATGAAAGGCCTGTAATGGGGGCTGTGACCCAAGAGGCTGGCTCGATCTACAGTGTCTGCAGTCAGTAACAAAAAGGCTCATGAAGGAGCAAAACCCATCTGCTGCACAGTGGACCTCCCAGCAGGGCTGGGACGCACCTTCAGCCTCTCAGATGCTTTGCTGCACAGAAAGAGCCAATGTGGTGGGGAAAGGACCAGAGCAGATGGTCTCTACAGGCCTATGCCCTGGGCAGCTTTGCCTCTGGGGCTCACAGCAGGCTTGTGTAACTGAGCCCAGTGTGTGAGGGGATCACCGCTGCACCCACAGCTACCGAGCTCACACAGCCTGAGGCAGGACACTCACAGCACGCTGTGCTGGTGGCTGCACCAGGATGGCCTTTGCAGAGCAGCATAATACAGAGCAGAACCAAAGACAGGTTTCTTTGTCTACTGCATTTGCTATACTTAGCTCATTGGCTGCTGTGGTCTTTAACCCTTTTTTTGTTTTTTTGTAACATGCAGATGGAACTTCACATTAAAGATAAAAAAAATAAAAATCTATGTCTTTGTCAGAAAATACCTACACTTCTCCTCAAAACATGCATTAGACCAGTCTAGGCTAAGCTTATCATAAGTCTTTGATCTCTGCATGTTGCTCATTCCAATGCAGAATCTACAGATAACCACAGTAGAGAGAGAAATAGCTGAGGACACAAAACACAAGAAGAATTTTAAGTATTCACCACTAAAATATAGTATATATTAAAAATGCTGTCAGTGTTTATTGCTAAAGTCAAGAGCATCCCTGAATTCAGGCTTTGTTCTATATTTCATGCTAAATGCAACAATAAATATTGAATTACAAGAATTTAGTTTGAAAGTTTAGAAATATTTAAGGTCCCTCAAAAAGAGTTCAAAAATTACTCCTTAAACTAAATGGCCTTTCACAACATTCAGAATGCATTGAGGTTATTATTGAAAATCATGGAGTTAGCATAACTGCAAATCCTATTGCACAGTGTACCGTGTTATAAGAAGTGGTTTATTAAAGCATAAATGCATTAAGAAATCTAGGTCAGGGGTTTGATGTGGAGCCACCTCTGGCTATTCTCACCTCTGTGGGCCAAGCCCAGCATGGGCCAAGCCTGGCATGGACCAAGCTTTAACAAACAGGAGCCACAGCTTCTCTGGCTCCCGGCAGGACTTCACCACCAAAAAGACACAGGGCTCAGACTCACCCAGAGAGAATTTATGTGGTGACATCCAGCAGGACTAGAAACTGCTCCAGCTGGGGAAACGGCTGATCTGCTTCAGAAGCACTTTCCAAATCCTTGTTTACAGCCCAGCTGCAATCACAGCCCCCATAAAACCTGGACAGGGAAAACATTTTGAGTTCACCAGTTCATGCAGTACTATTGGCATCAGTTCCACCCATTAATTAACACTCCCAAGCCTGAGAACGCAGTTGTCTTTTACTTCCAGATGGGCCACAGAGATGATGCACTACCATAGGTGGGATGCAGGCACTGCTGTGGGATGGCATGTGGGGACCACGGCTGGCTCCACTCTCTGGAACCCTCTGGGGAGACACACAGCCCTTCAGGACAGGTCAGTCTGTGCCAGGTGAATAGCCTTCCACACAAGGGTACTCACAAATTGACCTTGTCTCCCATTTTGCTTATTTGTAAAACAGACAAAAAGTCTGAAATGCTGGAGGAGCAGGAAAAGGAACAAGTTTTGGGTCCGTCCCCCCCGTCCCCCGCCTTGTTTAAGAAGTATTTAAGGCATGTTAATTCTTCCTCGATTTGCTAGAGGGTCTCTTGGGGCACTCGAGAATATTACTTTTCCCATTGCTTCCTCAATAATTATACAGACTTTCATGACCAGAATTTCTTATCTAGGATATTAAACAGCAAAATCCCCCACTTTCCTGCAGTAGTCAAAGCTGTTCTTTATTTATCAAAGCAATATCCCTCCAAATCAAACAGGCCAACTCCTTCCTCCCCGCCCTGCAAAGCTCACTTGACAGCAGCAAATGCTTTGGAGCAGTGGCTCAGCCTGGCAGCTGCAGCACCAACCACCTGCACCACTGATCACCCTTCAGGACTCCTGGCAAAGCCAGCCATGAAGGGTTGGAAAGGGAATCCTCCAGAAATGTTGTCCATCAGAAAGATGAGTAAATCCACCTCATAGGTTTGCAAAACCACTGAAAAATACAAATGCAGGTGACAACTGAAAAGGGAAGATACAAAACACATTAAACTTTCCAAAGTGAGCAATGAAATAAAATTATTCCAATGAGGAACACTTGCATTTAAAAAAAACTGGTACATATACAACCAGTCAGAAAGGCTACTCTCTTTTCCAGAACACACTGCTTCTGACAAGACCTTAACTTGTTGGCTGATGTCACCACTAACACCTGGGATAGCAAACTGCAGCCAATCCTTACACTGTTTTTGTGCTAATGACTGAACCAAGATCACTGGAGTCCCTGGCAAGCTTCCCATTTAATTCAATTAACTCTAACCAGGCCTGTGGTGATTGCACCAGTCAGCATAAGAGAAAGCCAGAAACTGGATCCCTGGATTCTGATGGTAAAAACCAAGAAAGTTTCCACTGTAACTTTCTAGTACAGTTACCAGCAGCCTAACCTGCTGTTACTGAGCAAACCAGCATCCAGAGGGGTTTTTATAAAACAATGTGGAAAACCATTATTTTAATCTCCAAAAATGCTCAACATTTTGCTGAGAAAAAAAATGGAAGAAACGTATTTCATTGTTCGGTGGGGGTTTTGTTTTGTTTTGGTTTTTTGTTTGTTTTTGGGGGTGTTTTTTTTGTGTTAGTTTATTCTAAAATGTTCTGTTACATGTCAGTTAAAACAAATGTTACACTGCATCTCCTTGTAGGCTGTGTTAGAACTGCAGAGCCTCCAGGAAGATCATGTTTCCCCTAATGCAATGCAGATGTCTTGATGCCAATCTGCGCAACACACCCTGGGAGCTGCTGACCTCTCCCTGGGGACCCTGACACTTGGAGAGATTTAAGTTCATGAGGTATTAGCTAAAAAATGCAGCTTAACAGGGAAAAGACTTCAAGTGGAAATTAACTTTGAAGCTGGTTCCACAAACTGAATGCTATTGAGTCTGGGAATGTCAAAATGTTTCATTTAAATAAAAAAAGACATTCCTGACTCTTGTTTGGAGTTTTATTCTCACAAAAAAAAACCTCCAAAACCAATAAATTAAAAAATTCCTTGGTTTTGAGATGAAACCAAATAGAATCTATGTAAATTCCTCATCAGACATGTGATTTCATTCATCTAACTTCATTTAAAGATAATTTCCTTAGAACACAAGATAATTTCTTCAGAACACAAACCACAGAAAATTTAAAGTGTCTGATATAGCTACAGAACCAAGGGGGTATAACACCAAGTCCCTCCTTCCCCAAACTCACGAAACATCCGACTCTGCTAACACTATTAGCTGCTTTCTGCAAGCTGTGAAGAGGAGGAGGAGACTGGACGCTGAGGGTGGTGTTTGCATAGATGCAGCTCTCCAGCACATTTGGGTAGCAGGCCAGAACCAGAAGAACTTGAGGCCAAATCTGAGGAATGTATGAATATGATTGCTTTAGTGCAGACTTCTGTGAAACTTTGCAAGCCCTGACAGAAAGCTCTTAAGGCTGTTGAGCTGGTGGGGTAACTTGACTGGTGGGACGCTGTTAGCTGTGGTGTGAGTGGAGGATGTCTTGTGCTGCACGAGAACTTCTGTTACAATAGGCTGACCTAAACCCAAGAACGGAAATTAGCAGTCAGGGCCAGCAACGAAGTGTGATCCCACCAGGTCACTTCCAACAAGCAGTATATTTAGCAATCCAAGGCTGTGGGGCACAGCATACCACTGCTCAGCAGACAGAAATTCCTGCCCTTGGCCAGGCTCATCAGGCTATGCTCTGCAGCTGCTTAGGGGCTGAACTCAGGGGCTGCTTTTGGCTGCTCCCTGCCCCTAACAGCAGCACTATAAGCAGAGGCCATGCAGCAGCACAGCTCCATGCTGTCAGCTCCTCTCACAGAAATCCTGACATACAGCATCCTTGTAATACTTAAATGAAATATGGTGACGTTTCTTGTGAAAGCGCTGACCATTCATTGACAACTGTCAGTTCAAGCTTAGGGAAACGTGAGGAAGGGTTTAAGTTTAGTACCTTGGAATTCTGATGAATATGAAAAGTAAATTAACCAGGGAAAACTAAGCTGCACTAACAAACTGGTGTATCCCCTCAGCTGACACAATTTCCAGGTCTGTGTGATAGTTAAAAAAAATAAAAATAAAAAAATAAATAAATAAAGATTAATACTTCCCAAATATTTTCCTTTTACTTTTGAACATTCTTCTACTGTAAGCCCCAAAGGGCTGCAACATATTTGCCCACTCACATTATTTAGTTAAGAAGTTCTGAAACGGAGATTTGCACAGATGTTCCCTCAGTGGTGCTTTTGAAGTGTTATGTCTGAGATAGCTGGTAAAAACCCTAGAAGTCTGTATACTGCCAACATAAATAGTGTATTTAAGGATGGGGGATTATCCATTCTTTGACAGGGCTGTGCTACATATCACTAGCTGTCATACAAAGTCTGCTGTCAGTTGCTAGCAGCAATTTTGTCTGAAATTGAGTCCAGCACAAATAATGCTCAGATAGACTTTTCTCCTGGAAAACAAAGCCTTCAGACCTTCAAAAGGAACTCTAAAGACTCATATGTGACCACTATCTTGGACATACCTCAGAAACAGCATGAGTCAGCACAGATTATTGAAGCTTCAGAAAGTTTTGATTTTTTTTGTGGAAAGCCTTTTCTGGCATTCCTGTCATCTTCTGGCCTGTGTGTGGATCCTCTAGAATGGCTGAGAGTATAACAGGGAAGCCAAAATCAGTGTTAATAGTTAACATAATGCTGCGTTCCTCCCTGCAAATTCACTGGAGAATAACAATTCTTTGCAAATATAGCTCAACTGCTCTAGGTCAGCAACCAGTCTTTGAAGTTAGAAAACCAATGCTGTGGGTCCAGCTCATTAAATATATGTTTAAATAAACCACTACATTTCATGGAAGTTTTTCCCATCCCACAGCTCCAATGGACAGAGGTGCCAAGCACCCCTGGCAAGGATGCTAGGCATTTGTCTCCCATGCACTCCCATCTACACATTCAGCATCTTCCAGAAGGGAATAAACCTCTGCATTGCACTTTAACACCTGACCATGTCCAGGTATTTTCTAGATGTCCCCAGTTACCCCATCAGGCATCACTTCAATACTAAAGATCCATAAGGGATAACATAGGGAAGACTAGAGCCATACAAGCACCTGCAAGCAGATGTAACACTGTGAAGCACAGTTACACCCAAAATGTCCACCCTCGGCAGTGCTGACTGCTCTTTGTGAGGCCAGGCTCATGTGCTGCTGTGGCCACGCAGCAATCCAGAGTGCGCCTGTATGGAGCGAAGCGCATTATGCTCAGGCTGTGCTGGGACCGCACCAGCAGCGGGACAAGGCTGAACCTGCCGCTGCCCTTTGTTCTGACACCTTGTGCCCAGCATGTCCAAGGGACACACAGTAGAAACCCATGGGCAGCTGCTGCCTAAGGAACACTTCTGTCCTTTTTGCTGCTCACAGATATGGGGCCAGAGCGGCACATCTCTGCAACATCCCCAAATTTGCAGACACCCTGTTTTTGATTTGTGAGTTAGAGAGCTCTAATGTAACTGTGTTAAGTAAACCTTTATCTTTTACCAAATGGGGGGTCAGCTGAGGCAGTATCGTGCCTGAGCAGGGCTGATCTTGTGTGGGTCATGGTGGGGCAGCAGTGGGATGGCAGTGGGAAAAAAAAAGCCCAATCCAAAAACAAACAAAAACCAACCAAACAAAAAAACCCACCCTAACAAAAAACAAAACACACACCGCCCCCCCCCCCAACCACCCCAACCCAACACCCCTAAGGAAATACCTACAACAAACCCAGTGTAAAAACCCCAAGCCTTTTAAAGCATTTCCAAATGCTATCCTGATACTCCTGCTGGGTGTCAGGTTATAGGAACTAGACAATCCAGTCATAACAGCTGAGGAGCTACATCTGGAACTGCATCACCTGCTTCACAGAGCTGACAATAGCATTAGCATGAAACTAAAATTGGAGGCTTGAGCACTGCAGTCACTGAAACTGATGACAGTTCAGCAATTCATATCCCTCATTTTTCTTGACTGAAATAACCATAAAATCAGCTCCCATTCATGCTTCTCCCTGCTCCTCAAGGAAAAGCCCTGGTAAGCCTGGCATGCCTTGCACACAGGGAGTTCAACTGCCACTTCTTCCAGGGCTTTTAACATTCCCAGCAATTAAAGTGTCGGGAACAAACTCAAAAAGAGATCATGTGTTCACAAATCAGCGTTGTTTTACAAAAATGTCAGGGCATGGGAGCCATCATTAACCATCACCTGTGCATGAATACTTATGAGACACAGTAGATTAGGAATGGACAAATAAAAACACATGCAGGATACGGACAAAAGATCAGGAGAGAGAAGACAGGAGAGAAGTGAGGCTGTCAGATGCTGAATCTCCTCTGCACCAGAGTTGAAGGATGTTACTATTGCAGAGTTTGCCTCATGGCTTATAAAGGACTATTGGTCCATTTACTTGAGCCATTCAGAAATAAGAATTCAAGACTCTCAGAGAATGACTAGGTGGCTGGATGCAAGTCTGTGAGTACACACATTAGGTGTGCACTGGAAGAGCCTCATCAGCTGTCCTGCTGCCAAGGCTAAAATGGGATTCTGACTCCAGGCCCTCTACTCAGTAGGACAGCTAGGTCAGTGCTACATTCTTCCTCAAGCAGCAACTTGGTTTACACACTAGCTCTAGAAGTGACTTCCTTTGCTTTAGTAATATTTCTGGGATGCAGTTCTGGTTCATTGGAGCTGAGTGGAAATTCAAGACAAAAAAAAAAAAAAATCTGATTTCTGTTGTTCTTGGATAATTTCATACTATTAATTCTTCATGTGATAACAAAGAGTTAGTATATAGTCTGAAAGAAAATGAGAATAGATGTACAGTAACATTATTGTCAAAACTACTTCCTTCAAGTGGGTTGTGCTTAGGTATAGGCAAATTTCCCATTTTGTTCCTACCACTTGCTCACGCGGTGCCCACAGCTGCAGGGCAAGAGTGCAGCATGGACCTGATTATGAGACGCAATTGTGCAATGTCACTTGGTCCTATGTGCAGGTAAGTCTGAACTGATGTCAGGCTTGTGCTGTTCCTAGAGTACTAGGGAGTTGCTAATATTAACAGCTAAGGAAGTGAAAACATCTCCTGCTAAACACCAGATCAGGGTGTCAGAGTGGAAAACAGGCCCAGCCTCTGTGAGCACGCTTTGTAAATAAATCAGATGTTCTTTTAAGGTGCACAACAAAATTTATTGAAAGGAATGTGAGCCTTTCCATTGACCTCACTAGGGTGTGTCACATATATTAGGCAGAGAAAAATGCCTAATGCTATTTAATCGTACATTTACTTACAATATGAGGGGGCTGTTCTTTAAGACCCAGAACAAGAGACTGAACATATTGTCATTACAGCTGCAAAGTCATTGCACTGAAACAACTGCTCTGTCCCAATCCCAGAGAAAATGTGATTAAGACTTGCTGTGAAGTATATGGCAGCACACAGACTCTTGCAGGCTTTCAATGCAAGGACTCTGTGCATACCCTTCTGCCTGTGGTGTGCTCACCTGCAATTTGTCAAGCTTGCTGCAGTTTTATTTTTAGTTCTATACAACATTTGGAGTTTCTGATCCATAAATACATCTCCTCACGGTGGTACATTTGGAAAAGCCACAACGTGCTACCGCCTCCGCTGGCAACTGAAGCCTCTGATCACTGACAGCGTTGAGCTTCCAAACCAGTCCCTCTTCCGTTCTTTCATCAGCATCTGGCTTGCTTTTGGTCTGGACACAATTTCATTTGCACCTTCTGGTCCAGACGTTGCCTGTGGCTTCTTGCAAGAATCTCCCAATTCTGCTGCAACCCACATGGAAGGAAGGAGCATGGTATAAGATGTGTTCTTCACCTCAACTGCCATAAAGACCTGGGCACGGCTGGGCTCCTCTGGTGCTGCTCTGCTCCTTTGAGCAGCTATGTAATTAAGTGCAGTCACACAGCTCACTGCAGCTGGTTGGTCTCTCCTCCTCCCTTCTTCCTACACTTGCTGCAGGCATGAAATGTTCCCAGGTTCCCACAGTCATCCCCCAAGGTATGCCAAGCCCATATGTTGCTGTCCCCTTTCACACACATTACAAAAGAGCCATAAAATTTGCTCCTTGGAGATACGCTTCTTTGTGCACAGTCCACCCAGCAGAATGAAGAAACCTAGCCAAGATGGCCACAAAACCATGTTGTTGCTTAGTAAGACTTCATTTAACAGTGACACGAAGTTTATTATTTTGGGGTTAAGTAATATAACCCACCATATTTTCAACATAACATGCCTACTTAAGTACAACTGCTTTATAGTCTTTTGCTTTAAAATTTTCAGTTTGCCAGGAGTAAAAATGTCCTATATTATACTGCAGACATCCGTTCATTCCCCATTTTTATCAGCATTTAGGGCTATGATCAGAAGACTCTGACCTTACTCTAAAAATCAACTATATTACAAGCAATCAAGTACCTGTATTGAAAGTCCACAGTTTACAGCTGCTTTTGGCTGCCCCAGGTAGCTAATGCTGTTGGAGACATTTGCTCTGTCCTGGCATCCAGAGGGGAACACGATGTTTCACTGTCACTGCCAGCACTTTCCCAGTGCCCCGCTCCCCCTCTGCGGGCTGTGCAGGTCCATCAGCCGCTAAGCCCAGCTCTTCAGATGACATTGGCGTCTGTCCCTGAGGAGAGCACTATCCAGTGGACTGAGGCTTTATTTAAAGCTGGCTGTAAAACATACACCACTGATCAGCATGTATTTTAAACACCAGACTTTTTTGAACTATGCTCCCAACCGACAGGTTTTAAGGTAACATCACATTTGTCAGTATCACAAATGATCGCTACTTTAACATCAAAATATTTCCCTTCATTAAGCATCATCTGCAGAGTTGTCACATGCAGGAAGACATTTGAAACAACTCTCTAGGATGCCAATACAGAATCAGCATAAAAACTGCTCTTTGAATAAAAGCTTAGACTTCTGGCTGGAAACACCTCCCAAGCAGCAGCAATTGCTGCTCACGTCACAACATTCTTGACAACAACAGCTAAAGATCCCCATTTCAAAAGCGACTGAATGTTACAGTGCAAAGCTAAACACTCATTCATGGCTGTGACAGCTTTGTGGGGCTCATCTCCCTTACTGTCTCTTAACGCACATGAATTATCCTCCCAAATAGCTACTTTTCTATCAACAATATGCACAACATCTTTCAAAAGGCAAAATGGAAATCCCTGCAAGTATTTTTGGTGCTGCTTCCAGCCAGAAATAACAGTAATCTGATCCACAAGTGAATTCCGTTTCTGTTGCTGAATTCCTTTGTACAAATATCTCTGCTTTGAAAAGGTTTGGCAACAGCAAGGCACAAGCTAATTTTACTTATAAGGTGTGACTCAAAGAAGATTTGCAAGTTTCCGAATCACAGAAAGTAAGCATCTGTGGCCTCTTACCAGTTCTGTCAAGAGAAAACATCACAGTTCAGCTATTTTAGATGCAAATTCAGACCTACTTGCTGCAGCCCTGCAGATCCCCACCTCCCACCACCCTCACGCTCTCCCCAAGCACAGCAACATGACCAAATCCAGAGTCTTGCCTTGGGACATAGGAAACTTCCAGCCCCATTCAAACCCTCTGTTGTTAACAGGCTACATTACCATGGGCAAAATTTAGCCTGCAGTGTTAGAAAGTGGAGTAAATCATTAATTCGAGAGAATTCAGAAAATGCTTTGTGAAAGAAACAGGTGACCAAGGAAATGGTGAGCCACTCTCCACATTGCACAGTGCCAAAACCCCGGGAAGCTCAGTGACTAAGCTACAAAGACTTGCAGTAGAAGCGAATCTTCAGGGGCTGTGTAGTGCCTATGGCCTGGTCCTGCTGCACTGTAAGCAAAGGCCTACGATCAGTTAATACCTCTGTGTTCTTTTGCTGCTGAGAGAGCTCCCACTCAAGGTAAGGTTGCTCTGAGGATGGGGACAGCTCTACCACACTGGCTGCAGCAGCCCTGGGGAACATGCAGTTGGCCTGCCTACTTCTGCAGTCCCTGGGAACAGGCACTGCCACCCCACAGAGTTTGCCAGGCTGCTAGGGCCAGAGCTGCTGTGAGCACTCCTCTAACATTTTCTTCTCTTCATTCACTGCTTATGACAGACTCGATCCCCTCCAGCCCTGCAGGAACAATGCTGAGGGCTGGAAGGCTTCAGCATGTCTTTCCAGCACCAATTCATTGCTCTCCAGCCTCTCAAAGACCATTTTATCACCATGCCTCAACTCATGGGTGAACACCACCATATCTTCTTTCTTAAAATGGGTCTTGAGGGTTTACAGATGTCAGGCATGGTATAAAAATTAAACAGAACTGTTTGAAGGAATGAAGAGTCCTCCATCTCCCAGCAGTCGTGAGATCTGGCCATTGAATATATGGGTGAATTGTCCCATAAAATTCAGTATCAGACATGCTTAATTTTGCTTCATCATTTTTATACACTGCTGCTCTGCAGCCTCACAGTTCATCTTCTACACAGCTCCATTTGTCAAACCAAATTGTTCCCTGACAGTCTGCAGAGACATATATTTGCCATCTGCAATCTATTCCTCGGTTTCTGGCACATATTTTCAGTGCTTTCTTTTGAAAGCTGTTTCAGATTTCCATGGGCTTCTTCATAACCTCTGCTAGCAAAGCCTCACACAGCCTAATTGTTGACAGCTGTGTCATGAGAAGTATTTTACGTATCTTTTGTTGTTCCTCTTGCTGTATGCATACAAGTTGCTACATTAAGAGCTTCTGAGCTGTGGAACACGCACCAGGATGTGGAAAGACGGTATCTCCTGAGAGTGGGTTATAGGGATTTAGTTCATTACAGTTTTACAGAAATAGTTGCAGCTCTATACAGTAAAATATTGACAAGTAAAAGGCATTTGAGCAAACAGGCATGAAGCTCTGAAGTTTCAGATTATTGGTAAGCAAGTACAGAGTTAATTAGTGTAATGACTGGAGGATGCTCAGAGAGTATGGATCGTTTCACAAAAGAAAATCCAAAGCTATTAGCACATTTGTCAGAGCTAGGAAAACTTGCAAAATTGTATTTTCCTGCTGAAGCTCCAAGGACCAGCAGGGTCCATCTCTCTAACAAAGGCACCTGTGTCACATTGGCTATGACCAAGCCAGCAGTCAGGCTGGTTATCAGAGTAGGCCAAACAAGGCTGTGGAACCTCTGCTCACACCCAACTGTAGCACTAAGAAGAAAGCAGCCACAGCTGTACTTCAGCCCAGAAGCAGAAGAACCTGGTACAGGCAGTGTCTGTGCCTCTCTGATCCAACATTCAACTGTGACTTGTGATACATCCTGCATCCATGGCAAGTCTCATTCTAAAGCAGTCAAGACACATACCTAGATGCAAAAACTTCTTTATGTATAGCAAAGGCCAGCATTAATAAAATATTTAGGTAGGGGCCTCTGTAACTCTTGGGACACTGAGTACCCTATACTCTCACGTTTCACTCAGTACCGTCCCACATGAGAAGTACTAGGCTGGAAAAAACTAAATCTCTCCTTTTCTTTTAGAGTTCACATTTCAGTTTCATGGTAAAGAAAAATCCAGTAAAAACAAACAACAAAAACACAAACAAAGGATATACCCCAACCCCCCAAATAAAATCACTGTTGTTTCCCCCCCCCCCCCCCCCCAAAGCAGAAAAGGGACTGCAAGTATCAGCAGAAGATGTGGCATATGCAGGGGATGGGAGGTTGTGGTGCTACTACGAAAGATGGAAAATGCTGAGGACTAGACTGTTCTCTTCTGCAAGGCTGAACACAAATCTGAAACATCTGTTCACACAACTTGAGATGAGCTCTCAGTCAAATAACATAAGCACAAACTCTCCCTGACATCAGTGCAGAACAACTATCAGCTAAGCTTTTTGTGGAAATCTAAGAATCCAGACACTTGATGTTCCCTGCAAGCACAGAATAACAATGCATTTTTACTACCAGCATATCATTTGCAGAGAAAAATTAGTACTTTTTAAAAGTATTCTAAATCCTGAAATCTTTGTTTTTTTCTAGAACTAAACTGTACACACTCTGCTTTAGGAGCTACTCAAACTGGTCAATTGCTGTACATATAACATATAGCTCAGGTCAGCACAGTTGGTGCTTGAGCACAGAATGGTTTGGGTTGGAAGGGACCTTAAAGCTCATCTAGTTCCAACTTTCCTACTATGGGCAGGGACACCTTTCTGCTAGACAGGTTGCTCAAAGCCCTGTCCAACCTGGCTTTGAACACTTCTGGAGATGGGGCAGCTACAGCTTCTCTGGGCAACCTGCTCCCCTATCAAAAGCATTATCCAATGGGCAGCGAGCAGGATTTCAGCTGACAGTATTGGAGGATAGAAGTCATTTGCATAACTTGCATCCAGACCTCAGTTCACGGCTCACATTTCTTGTTGCATCTCCAGATTTGGTAGGAGAGGGTGCTCCTCTTTTTGTGCATTTTTTGCAGGGTTCAATTCTCATAAATGCCCACCTATACTTACAGAATAAATACTTTTTTAGCAATATGAGATATACTAATAAAAGTGCAGTGGCAGATCAAGCAAAAAAATGCAGAACCATGTGATATATACACCTCTTCCCTGCTTCTACAGCTCCAAAGCATGTGTTGCCTGCAGCTCTCCAAGAAATCTCTGCATTCAATACATTTTAAAGAATGAACCCCCTCCTGTTAACTATAAATTGGGGTCAGTTTCTGGTTCTACTCCTAATTCTATATGTGCATGTAAAAGTCACTTCGTTTCCATGCTGCTGTTCTCAAATCCTTTGTCTGCCTTGCCTCTTCAGCAATGGCTAAATAGGGATTGTCAGATCGTCCTCAGCTATGTACCTGCACAGTATCCAAGGGAGGGAACTGGATTTGAAACGGAGGACTCTAAAAGCCACAGGAAGAAGGGAGGAAAATAAATAAATAAATAAATAAAATAAAATTAAAAAAATAGTGGTACATGGTACCCAGTAGCTTTCCAGTGGTGTGGGGGGAAGGCCACGCCAGTTATTTTTGCCTTCCTTCCGTACAACAGTAGATGGAGCTCTCCTTTCACCAGCTTCAGGAGTCCATTAATGCCTGCAGTATTACAAATTCGAGCACTGTAATTATTCTGTCAGCACCTGCTAGGGCTGCTACATTTGACCGATCTGTGGTGGCTACAAAGGGGGGATCTCGGGCTCCACAGCTGTCTGCTCGACATCACTCAGCAGCATGAAATTCTCCAAAACTTGTAAATGACAAAAATCTTTGATTAAGCACAGTATTGCCTTTCCTTCCAGTTAAGCATTGTGTAATGCGCTTCCTTTGTAAATTTTTACCAGGATTACACAGAATTCAGTACAGTTTGGAAATGACATGGCATGTTTTATTTCTCTTGCAAAATAAGGAATGAGAAATTTTGCTTGCCACATTGAGAGAACATAAGAAAAAAATCTTATCATGCCTGCGAGTACTGAGGACTGCATTATCCAGAGGATTTTACAGGCACTAAAGGTCAAGGGATCTGTGGCCAATTTCTCAACAATTGCCTGCAGACCTAACACCTACAATCTGTATGTAACAGCAGGACAGGGGCGGAGGGATGAGGGGCAACACTGGCATTTACTTGCATCTCTGCAAGCTGTGAAAAATTACAAATGCAGATGTTGATTTTCTCTCTTCCCACCCCATCTTTATGTGCTG